ATGTCCTTATCAACGCTACCGAGGTTCTACTGTGTTTAATTTATATTAATATGTATCACTTAAAAAATTTTAACGAAGATATTTATCTTAATTATGAAAATATACTAGCATGTTTTTTTAATTTTTAGAACCTAACCCTCCTTTTCGTACTAGTTCTTTGTTTCGTATAACACGGATTCGCATAACACGGCAATTTTTTGGAACGTAACTACCGTGTTATACGGGGGTTACCTGTATTAAATTACTTTAAAAAATGAAAAATAATTATATCATTTGATTTCAAGATATTTTGTATATCTTAAAAATAATTAATTCTATACAGGGATCCCAGGAAAACAGTTCATTTTTATCCTGGAATCCCGGAACAAGCAAAAGACCGGAAAATGAGAAACCCTAATACCAATGAAATAGAACAACATTCAACATCTGATTATTTTTCCCAAATGGAATCGTGGTTATGCCGGAGAGCAGTGCTGCCGTTTCTAGGGTAATTTCAACCTCTTGGGGTACTGTTTAGGGTAGTCTTATATTTAGGATAAATCTAGAGTAAAACTGCCCTATGAATGGATGCTTTTATTGTAAAAGTTTTTATTGTACACTTGTAAAAGAAATCTATGCCAGATTTGATTTCAGTAATGACATTTTTTCATATCTGCTTTTGCTTGAATCTGAAAATTCGCAAAATTTAACAGTGAGATTTTTGGAGTCATTGTTTAAAAAGTTTAAAAATGTTAAGGCTGATTTACAAGTTGTAGACAGTGAATGGAGGCCATACTTAACTTGGGGTCAAAAAGTCATATTGTCAGATCCTACTTGTCAAAAATATTTAATTTAAAAAATGCTGCTGGAGAGTTTGTTTCAAAATCTTGAAAAATTGTTGAGTTTATTGATGATATTAACAGATTCCAATGCATCTGTTGAGCGAATATTTAGTCAGCTACGTTTGTTTAAGACATCGCACAGACATTCTTTGAAAACTGAAACGATTTGTAACCTAATGCACGCACAGTCCGGTATTTAATTTAAAAATATTGTTTCATTTGAACCTTCAAAACGAATGTTAAAATGCAAATATATATGTAAATAAATGAATTTTTAAAACTGATCATTTACGTATTAAAGTATGTTTGAAATCAAGTGAATGGCTTATTTAATTTTCTATCTTCAGCTAAGATATATAANTGTTGAGCGAATATTTAGTCAGCTACGTTTGTTTAAGACATCGCACAGACATTCTTTGAAAACTGAAACGATTTGTAACCTAATGCACGCACAGTCCGGTATTTAATTTAAAAATATTGTTTCATTTGAACCTTCAAAATGAATGTTAAAACGCAAATATATATGTAAATACAGTAAATGAATTTTTAAAACTGATCATTTACGTATTAAAGTATGCTTGAAATCAAGTGAATGGCTTATTTAATTTTCTATCTTCAGCTAAGATATACATGTTGAAAGTGAATTAATTAAAATTAAGTTAAATAATTGCATTCATTAGACATGGATATATTTTATGATCATTTCAAAGACCATTTTTCTCGTTTGTCAAACTGGGATTACCAAACTAAAACATCAATTATCTCCATATTAGATGTAAATTAATACCTTTAATATAGCCTAAAAATCCTAAGACATTTTAGTTATTAAGATTTTTAAGAACAATGAATTAAGAATTGTTCCGATTATTATTTTACGATAATATTACCGGGATCTACGTCGTAGAATCGTTCTTCTTCTTTTTCTTTTTTTTTTATCCGAGCATGAGCTCGAGATAGTCGAACTTGGAGAGTTTTCTCAATTTAACTCAATCTAGGGTAATTTGGGGTAAAACGAAGGCACCGTCTGGGTAGTTTCACTAGAAGCAGGCGGCAGCATTGCCGGAGAGACGCTCAATCTCATTTTGTTTTAATTCTTTCCATCCTATGGGCATTAAGAGGTTCTTCTTTTGGCAAAGCCCATTATTCTCCTCACTATCCACAAACCATGGGTTTTGACGGCCGGATGGCCGCGCGGTCAAGGTGGCAGCCTACTGCCCTGAAAAACCCGGAATCAGAAAATCCCCAGAAATTTTTTGCGGGATGGTCCGTCCGGATACGTCGGGTCCAGTTCCCCACCACCCGGCCATCCCATTGTGGTCCTGGCCGAACCTATAATGAGCTTGCTGAAAGAGGCCCTCTTGGAGCCCACAGGGCGGAAAGAGTTTAAAAAGGAAAAAAGCCACGCGTTCCCAAGTGGTGAGGTGAAGTATCCGGAAGGACCACCCCGAAAAATCCGAGGAATTTTTCAGGGGTGGTCCGTCCGGATTGGATCTTGGTCCCCCAGAATGGTGTGTTGCCATCTTAACCGCGCGGCCATGCTCAATCTAGTGGTAAATTCAGTATCCACGTTGTTTAGGCTGCCGTTTTCACCTCTAGGCCATCCGGCAATCTGTTCAATCTACTAATAAAATTCAATATTTATGCATGTTGTGGCAGCTCAAGGTCCTAGAATATAAGGTTACCTCGTACGGCCGTTTTAGCCACTTCCTGCCAGATTCCAGATAAACGTCATCCGAATGGTAAGCCACTGCTTCACTTTAGCGAGGAAAGAAAATTTTGAAATTTTGCTATTTTTGTTACTTTGTTAAGAGTTTTTAAGACTCCATCTTCGAAGGTAAATATATTTATCATTATTACTATTATTAAACATAATTATGTTGATATTTATATCGATAAAAATTGTACGAAAGTAACAAAACTGTTCTTCGAGCCGTTTGATATTCTTTTGTAGTCTTTACACTTCGTTTTATAGAAATTACAGAATTAATATAACTTTTTAAAAATATTTATATTTACATTTATAGAAATGCAAAATATAAAAACGTTTATATATAGTATAAATTCATTGTAGTTAGTGTTACCACCCCTCCGGTTTTCAACCGGACAGTCCGGGAATTGACTCACTGCCCGGGTGAACTATTAATTTTGTCCGGGAATTTCGTAGAAATTGTGAAATTACGATGAAACGAAGTTCTTGCAATTTTTTTTTACAAATTTACACTATTTTAACAGCGAAAGAATTCGCACTCACTGAAACTCATCTGCAATTCTGCCACGTTAGTCTGTTTTAATATGACGTGTGGCGCGCGACCTGTCGACTTTTTTTTTTACATGTACGATCGTACATGTCTCCAATAGAGCTAAGTTATCTGTACCTGTTCTTTCAGTTCTTTTTTAATTTAGGTTACCTACGTTACTCCTACGCAAGTCCGTAGTCCCAAACTGTAACTCATTTAGAACCGGAATGCACGTTATTCTTCACGTTATACAGTATCTATGTAAAATGACATTGCGCATGCGTCAGGAACTTCTGTTCGAACAAACCTGACCTGCCGTCCGGGGTCAGCGATTTTGGAAAAGGTGGCAACACTAGGACGAAGTACAGTAATATGTTTTGTTTTGGAATTGGTTGAAATAAGCAACCAATGAGAAGCATTTCTTCTGTAAGAGTCAACTTCACCTTCTACGATATTGGTGGCAGCTATTGGTAGGTATTTCGCATACCTATTGAAGCGGTTTCTAGCAGCTACTATTATAACACGTTACCTACCATTTCAGTAAAATATCGCCGGATGGTAATTAAGTTTAAAATATTAAAAATCGAAAGCACAGTCTGTTGAAACTGGAATCACCATTTATTCAAGCTCAATGTTTCGGAAAGGTCGATCATCAAAAAACGTATTTTGGAACATTGAAATTGAATAAATGGTGATTCCAGTTTTAACAGACTGTGCTTTCGACTTTTAATATTTTAAATGTTATCATGTTTCTCTTATTTTAAAAAAGTCCATACAACAAGTATCTTTTAATAGATATTAAATTTCAAATAAACTATTTCCATTCAATGCCTTATCCCGTGAATACCGCAAGTTGTCTGCTAGTTTGGTTTATTACGAAAATCGGATCGTATTAAAGAGATGAATTATGTGATATGAAATATAACGTCATTGCTGTATCACGTGACGGCTCCAAACGCCATTATATATGCATCCCAGATGCAAATTTAAGCGAATTTTTCCATATAGAAAAACTTTGAAATTAAACTTTTTATTTACAAAATTAAAATTTCATGGTCAAAAATATGCGTGTCAAATTTGATTTCTTTTAACTCTCCGTCCCGTGAGACAAACTCGTGCAATGATCCGTCAAAAACACTCTCTTTACAAATAGACAGACACGGAAATCACAAAATTCGCCGCAAAATCCAAATTTTTAACATTAAATCGAGTCACTATGCAACAATAAAATTTTCACGTTGTTGAGAGAGAATCTATTGTTGACTCGTGCGATTTTTTAATGCGAGTGCTTTTTCTAGTTTTGCTTCGTTTGCAGCGATTGTTTAAAATAATGTAAGTTTACACTATGATCTTTGTAGATTTGAATACTCTTTAACTTTGATCAGCAAAATATCACAGTTGTCGGCGATGGGTTTCAATAAGAATGTTTGATCGGTTTCCTTCAGAGGAATCGGATCTTTCCATTGTTAATTTTCCAATGAAATTGTTAAAGCAAAATGAAAATTAATAAATAGCCTACTTTAAAATCTGTTATTCCCCGCTATAGTTTATAAATTACATACGTATATATATTAATTAATTAATATACCATATGAAATTCGTCTGAATCTTAATTAATTAAAATAATTCGAGTTCATTCCTCTATTTTCACAGATGTTTTGTGTTGCAGGATACAACAGAATAGTACAATTTTTATAAATTAATTCCTGTATCGAAATTTAAAAATAGTCGAAAAGATTAAAATTATTATATATAATAAATAGATATTTTATTATAATATTTTTTTCTGAAAGGAATTAATCATTTTTGCATTAGAAATTTACAATTCAGATTAGAATAGGAATATTTCTCAATTAATTCTCTCATTTTCCTTTGCAGAATGGAGAATTTCAGAGAGGTGAAGAAGTTGCGCATCTCGGACAATGCCGAGTCCGAGGATGACGCCTGGTCTTGGCCAGGTGTCATAAGGGTGCTCCCGAAAGATGCGGAGGAGAAGTGTCATACACCGGATGTCAAACGGGTGGTGGTCGTAACTCCGGACGACACCGCCTCGTCTCTCGTCCAATATCTGGAGCGGCGATATCCGGAAGTTCCGGAATGGACGGTGGAGACACCGTCAGGTGAGACCGGAGTGGACAGAAAGGAGTCCGAAAAAATGGTGGAAGAGTCCGTGGTGCGTAAAAGGCCTTGGTGGAAAAGATTGTTTTGCTGCTGGAAGACATAAACCTCTTCTCTGCCCAGGCCTTCTTGTGCAGATTTCGACTTTCCACCGAATGTAACATCGCCACTCGGAAGTGACCTTTCACCCGAATGTGACACTCACTAGGAATTGACCTTTCACCCGAATATGACACTCACCAGGAATTGACCTTACACCCGAATACGACACTCACCAGGAATTGACCTTTCACCCGGCTACGACTTAATCGACTGGACTTGACTTTCCATCCCAATTTACGGACAGATACTTCGACACCATTCGAGATTCGGTTAAAGTACATAGAACAACGACAGTGACATCAAGCAAGTGCTCTCGTGTTTAATTAAAGACAGTTTAAACGACTATAACTGGCTAAAACAACTTATATTCTACAGACATTTACATTGTATTTTATACGGTGTTCTACTGCTAAAAACTTTCACCGCGAAATAACGAACACCCGCCACTAAAAGGCATACCAGACGAAGACCATTTCAACATTGAATTTAAATAAACCAAAAAATACATGTACTCGGTTTGTTTACTCCAGAATTATAATTACTTCAACAGTTAAAATTGTACATGGTATTTTCACGATTGTACATAAAGCAGTCAAGTATATAAATTTTATATTAAATGTGCTCAACAGAGGCCAAGTGAATAAAACTATTGAACACTTTTGTCTAAGTTTGCACCTCGCCAACGGGTTTTCTTCAAGTTAGTAAAAGCTAAATAATGCCCAATTTCCCATGGAACTATTATACAGGAGCAGCAGCCACTGAAAATCAAATGAAACCAGTTTATGCTTTTAACTTGAAAGCTTCGGGTAACTATTACTCGCCTCTATGTGCATTATAAAATTAACAATAGGAAATAAATTTTATAGTTAATAAGGGAAATGTGTTTTAAACTTCTTTTATTAATTGACACAACTCATTACTTGTAACCCAAATAAAACAGATTGAGTACTAGAACTATATTTTACTGTATATGTAAATTTACATCTTTATTTTTATTTGTTGAATACAGAAGAATGGTGAAAATTTCTGCTGTCTATAAATATCATATGACTTATCAAAAACCAACTTTTAACGTAAATTACTGGCTTCAGTAGGAACATTCAGACAAAAATGTTTATAAATTGTAAGATATTTTTTGATCAAATGACAAAAAGAAATCAAATGACAAAAAGATAAAAATAAGAGATGATTATTTCTTAAAAGATAATACAATGTACACATACGACTTGAATACGAAAGAAATAATTCAGCTAAATCATTTTTTAGAGATAAATATAATGTAAGATTAGAAAAAATAAATCAAAATTTAAAAACAATGCAGAAAAAAATGAGAATGATTGAAAATATGGAGAATAATAACAGAAAAGTGAGTGATGATAGTTTGATAGTCAAAGATAATGAATTGAATGAGGAAAAAGTAGAAATTCCAAAAAGAGAAAACAATAATGTGACAATAAGTTTTTGGAATATTCAANTCATAACGAGTTTGCTTAAATTTCCTTTCTTCTGAGATCGCAGCAATGCGCGACGGGTAAGCTAGTTGTATATAAATCTTTACATTTGATAAACTTATTAAATTTTATATTAAATGTTTAAAGGTTCGATATTTATTGAAGTTGCGCATTTTTTGATGAATTTATAACAGTTATGACGGATGACGAAAACAGAAAAAATGTACCCGATTCATAACGAAACAAAAATATTTAAATTTAATGAGCCAAATATAATTTTAAACAGTTGGAAGTTTGTAGTAAAACAATGGCATGAAAAATGAAATCACATTATATTTTATTTCATAAAAATAAAAGACAAGTTTTACAAGTTTAACGAAACATTCAGGCCCAAGGAACCTTATATATTTTAATAACTTTCCAAGCGGGCCTATAGCACATTAATTCCGAATCTGAAGGAGAAGGTGTGGTTGGAAATATCGGTGGAGGTTCTTCCGGGTGGCGGAAGAACTGACGTCACTAACCGATCGTAAAGTTCGGGTTTGATCAAGCAATATAGAACCAATCCTACAAATACCATTACGGAACTTACAGTAAGGAAGACGATGGATACAACCATCTGCACTTCTAATGCCATGTTGATCTTCCTGGAAATAAATAAATAACCTAAATACCAGTATACTATTTTTAAAACAAAAATTCAAGTGTTTTTCTATACGCAGTAGTTGGATAAGGCAATGTAATACATGAGTGATCTACCAATGGGTATTGCATGCCAGGACTTTCTACAGGAAACTAGCCTCTATTTTGGTATTAGACAAGTGAAGAAAACCCGGAAAACTCCACGTGGCTAGCCCTTTGGTGAGGTGCAAACCCGCGACCGCAAACTGGATCAAAAAGTTCGAGGAGGAATTTTTAACATCTCTTACACGGTGGCATGTGCCTCCATATGCCTCAAAATATAGATCGATTGCGTCGTGGTCCTCCTCAAATTTTATTTTATCCCGAAGTGTAATAGAAAATGAATTGTAAAAAGACTTTTATACTATGTTTCAGTTTGTTTGTTTGTTAAGTTATGGCAACGCAACACTTGGGCGATCTGCCTATGTGGAATGCCTTCCGGGAGGTCTTTTTAACAATTTAACAAAATTTTCCTTAGAAATTTTAAAATAACACTTAATAGAAAGTATTAAGTATATAGTCAAAGCTCAGAACAATGGCCACTGAAGGGAGCATTAATTAATTAAAAAATGGCCGTGGCCGTGGTTTGAAGGTTATTTTTATGCAGTTTTATTTGAAACAGCAGTGGCATGCCGTGACATTTGATGATAGGGAAGCTGTGTTTCTGTAAGAAGCCGACTTCCAGGTGAAATCAGTTAATTGCGGGTCAATCATGATCTACTTCGATATCGTTTGTTCGATAAGCCAGTAAAAACCGCAGACTTCTCTAAATGTATTTTTAATATCACAATTACATTCCGAATCGCTAGCCACAATATAAGTGCTAAAACTAAAAATAAAATAATAAAAACTTACTTGGTGAAATAAAACGTGTACATATCTGCTACAAAATATTCTTCAATTGTATTACTATACTTTTAAAGAAAATTATAATTAAATATAGCTTTGTAAAGAAACGTACATAAAAATAACAAAATATTCTTTACTTTTTAAATCTTAGTCAAATAGCTCCCCTACGAGTGGCTAATGGATGGAATCAGAGACTGTTCTGGTAGGGCTGCCAAATCCCGAGGGTGCCGATACCGGTCAATGTCATTTGCTTCTTTTGTCGCATCACTAGTATACCTCAAAGGAGGCGACAGGGTTGTTGTAGATTTTAAAGGTTTCTCGCCATAGCTATAAAAATCTAAATACGGTATGTTTAAATTTAATAGATTGTCCGTCGTTTGTTTTCTAACTAATTCATTTTAGGACCAGGGTCCACGGAAATTTCCAAAATTTACAACTTTTCGGTCACTCTCATTGAACTAGAAAAATAATTTCTGTCTTTTTTAACTAATATTACGAAGAAATCAGACCCCACCGAACTCGGTTAAGCTTATGTTTAAGTAAAATTTCGGCTCTTTCAGCAAGGTTTTATTTATGTCCCTAATCACTCACTTAATTATTTAACTTCTTAAGTAGAAATAAGTTAAAACCGGTTACTTCGTACTTGAATATTTGTAGTATTGGGAAAGAAGTGGAAAGACAAATTTTTATGAAAACGTATATTTAAGGAAAATAAATTCTAGAGCTTTTTTGTGCTTTGTGCATCTTATTCATTAAATTTAGTTGTAAATGATGCTATCAAAGTAACAGTTCATTTTTTAACATTGTACTGTACAAGATTTTTTTCTACATCCCCTTATAGATGGGACATACGAAATCGTAATAACACTGGTTTAACATTGAGATCCGTAAGTAATATAAGATTGGAGAGCGGAATAAAAATATCAAATATTTTAGTGGATTTTTTAAAACTCCTGTCAACTACACTGATTAAGCATATCCTTTCTGGTTTTACTGTACAAAACGGTTCTGACTATACTCGAGTATTGTTATTTTGATAATGTTACATGCTATAAAATCGTCACGAAATGACATTTAATATACCAATTATTTTGTTTATAATTAGTTTAATTGTTCGTTTCTTTTTGTTAAGGTATACGTTTTTATTAGTAGTTTTTGCACATATCTTTAAAGTTTTCTGCGTTCTATTTTGTCAATTCTGTAACTTTTTTCTGTAATAGTTAAGCAAAATATCCGGAAAAATATAAGCGACAACTATAACAAAAGATATTCGAACCCGTTCTCACATTCATTCTTTTACTCCTTCTTACAAGTTATAAAAATGCTATTAAAACAGTTCTCTTTATTTCGGATTGGTCCCTATTCGCGCTCACGGCTTCAGTGTCTCCAACACAACGAACAAAAGGTTAGTTCGTCTTAATATACTTTTATCCACAATGATGGATATAGTGCACAATCTGTACACATCTTAATGGTGTAGTTTCTACATATCAGTCTCTTGCACTTACTGGCATGTTTTCTTTGTTTATTTTTGATGGGAAAATGCCTTTTCTCGCAATTATTAACTCCTTTTTACCTCTCAGAAGGATTTTAACTTTTAAAATTTTAACTTAATATTCTGCTTTATAACACGACAAAGATCAAAATTTAGTTTTCATCGTAAATATTTTCACAAACAAACGATAACTACGAGCAATTGTCTATTGTGACATGCAATTCTTAATCATATTTTGAAATTATTTAATTCAAAATATCTCAAGCTAGTAGTGGCTTGCCCCTGTACATCACACTTTTCNCTCTGAACACACCTGAAATTTCCCTAAAATTAACAGAGTTTTCCCTTAATAGCGTTGCTCCACATATCAAAAAAAGTATCGGTATTTCGACAATCCAGAGAAAAACAGATTTTCACGTTAGGACGTAGGCGCTAGGGCACAGCTGTGGTTTTCTGTGTTAGCACTATTTGTTAGAACTGGTGTTTTAGGACTAAGACAGTTTGAGTTAAAGCCACAGTTTAGCAAAAGCATCGTGTGATAACAATTGTATATTTATGTAATAAACGGTCATATCTGTATTATGTATATCCAGCAGGTTTATGCCTTTTAAGTGCCATGGCGGAAGCGCGTTCAATTCGCTTCAAAGATGGCGGCCCGGTTCGGGGTCTGGTAGTCATATGTCGTTGGGAATAACCGTACAGAACGGCAAAATACGACTATTAAATTTAGGAATAATTTTGTCTGACGAAGATATTCAACTCTAGGCTTTTATTTTATTTTTAAATTAGATACTTATTTTTATCACGGGAAAGTTTTACGGATAACAAAATTAAAGTTAGAATAAAAATATTTGTTTAAGCAGGCCGTATTTTTCGGTCGAGTGCCGAGCATGCAGTCAATTATCGAGCATTGTATTTTTTTTAACGTGCATTCGAATATCGAATTATTCAAGTTGGGAGTAGTTCGTGCACTGAGGCACCACTGTATATATTTCTAGCGCTGATATCTTAAATTAAGAATAATTTTGTAAAGGTCGCTTTTCA